TCCAAACAGGAAACAGTAGCTGATTCAACGTGCGAATCAGAGTACATAGCAGCGAGTGAAGCGTCGAAGGAGGCAATATGGCTGAAGAACTTCATTGGTGACCTTGGAGTTGTACCCGCCATAAAGGAGCCCATGGAGATTTTCTGTGATAATGAAGGAGCGGTTGCCTTGACCAAGGAACCGAGGGATCATGGTAGATCTCGACATATCGACAGAAAATATCATTTCATCAGACATCGTGTAGAAGAAGGACAACTCATAGTGAAGAGGATATCATCAGAAGATAACCCAGCAGATCCGCTTACGAAGGGACTGAGTAGGGTTAAGCACTTGCAGCATGCTAGGAGTATTGGGCTGAAGGATGGTATTAGCATAGATTAGATAGTTTTAGAAACGTATAATAGATAAATGTAATTGACATTTGATGATTAAATAAAGGAGTTTTATTTATAAGTAAAGTTACTGTCATATGTTAATTGTTTAACTATTGTTTCACTTTGCATGTTTTGACTTCCAGAATAATTGAGTTTATTAGGAATAATCGAATTATTCAAATTGTCCACAATCGTTCATATGTTGGAAGTAGATATGAATGAAGATTGTCGTGAATTGGTGCGTAGATTGTCTAAATGGTATTAGACATAGCAAAAGATTGTTGCGACGTTCATGAGTGCTTATGAACTGGATTTGAGCATTGGAACAAACCCGCGCTTGCTGGAATCACCGTATGGAATAGGATATATAAGAGGTGATCGTAAGACGATAATATCATATAGTCTTAAAACCTAGATATATGGTTTATTATTTGCTAATTGATTGTACATTGATAATGCGAAAACGCATTGGTAACTCAATGTTATAAAACGCATTGTTGTGTATAGTTGATTATTGAATAAGTAAATGCATATAAGTCGAAGTTTATCTGTAAATTTTATCCTAAGAGGGTAGAAGAGATATCTCGGCCGCTCGATGATTTGATTTGACTTATGTGTCGGGCCCGGTCAGAACTAAATTGATGTGTTCGATTAAGTTCTATGTCAAATAAATCGGAGATCGAGAAACCTAAATGCTTGACTAATCATTCCATAGAATTGTCAGCATGATATCTAACAGAGGACTGTACGATCCCTTATCTATAGGACAGGTTACTGATAAGATCAAAGTTTGACAGCGTCTTTGAGAGCTACGATTGCTAATCGGGTTGCACGTTACATTTGTGGTTACTAGACTTATCCAAGTGGGAGACTGTTGGATTAGTGTCTAAGCCCGTAACCATATTTGGTAAGTACTTGACCCGGTTGTGCATGGTCCTTTTGGGTTGCCTTCACCAAAGCAACTTGACTGGAGAAATTAAATAGAGAGAGAGGTTATTGTGATTTATTAATATGTTATAAGAATAATATATTAAAGGAAAATCATATTTGTTTAATTAATATTGGTCAATAATTAATTAGGAATTAATTTTGTGATCAAGTGTAATTAATTAAACTAGAGGGGCTGAATTGTAACTATAAGATAGTTGCAAGATAGGGCAATATTTATCCTTGTTAAAGGATGAACGAATTTAAGGATAAGGATATCCTTAAAATCATCCAAGGATAAGAGGATAAGGGTTTTTCAAGGCTTATCTTGTGGTTGCTTGGTAGGCAAGTAACTGGATAAGGATAAGGACTTAAACCCTAATCTAAACCCTATATAAAGACCCCTAGGCCTTTTGAATTCGTGTACATGCCCCTAAGAGGTCCCAAGGATGAATTCCAACTCCTCCCTCCTCTATCTTAAGCCTCTCCAATTGCTTGTGGTGTTTGTGAGCCATTAGAGGCACTACACTTGTGGTGCTTGCTTTCAAGACTTAGGATTTGAAGATTTAAGTTGTTATTGCAATATAACAACAAGAGGTATGTAAACCAACCTTTGTATGTTAATTTCGAAAATAGCAATGCACATTAGGGTTTTATTCTTGTGTTCATAATGTTGTGTATCTAATAGTGAAAACATAGATCCAAAATAGGGTTGCATGCACACTTAGGATTGTTTGTATAAAACCCATCAGTATTTGCTTCCATTCACTGTGAAAAAAGCATCGGGGGCTTTCCATTCAAAAGATCATCAAATATTGACGGATGATCAAGAACGTTGGCACCGTTATTGGAACCCGCAACCCCAAAAAATGCATACAAAATCCATTAAATCTTGAGAGGCAACAACCTCTAAAACCAACGAAGGCGATCCGTGATGACCACTTGCGTATTGACCTTTCCATGCTACTGGATAATTTTTCCATTCCCAGTGTACAATCAATGTTTCCAATATTTCCTAGAAACCCATGACGTTCTTCATGCACCGCATACACCTGTTGACAATGTATATAAACTCTCCCTTGCGGTTCTTTCGGACATTCTCATATAGTCATCTATGGTGTCGGGTAACTCCCTTATAGCCATCAAACGAATGGCCGCAACACATTTCTGCAACATTGTTAACCCTCGTCTACCTCTAGCATCATATCTCAATTGAAAAAATTAATACCTAAAACATATATTACCTACAGTTTAAAAATATAGTACACTGGTAAATTAAAGAAACATGTAGTACATTTGTATATATTTTAGTAAATGTGTACTAAAATTAAAGAAACAATACCGGCTTTCCAAGTCGTTGGCGATACGTAGGAACACATTCCTACTCAAACGAAATCTTCTTTTGAAGTCCTTCGATCCGTATACACAATTATCCGCAAAGTAATCGCGATATAGATGTTCATGTCCTTCCTCGTGGTTACTATTTAACATCGCACATCTTGTTAGTAGCAGAGTTGGGTCTGGTTGTAACAACTCATTAGTGTAATAATGATACATCATCCTGAAGAATATATCGTCATCGAAATAATCGGACGAGTCGAAAAGATACATAAATTTTTTGAAGATAATTGAAATTATATAGAAAGAAAGAGAGATTTGTGTGGAAAAAATTGTATAGATAATAGTTATTTATAGACAAAACTGCACAAATGGTCCTTGTGGTTAGCTGAAAATTGACACTTTTGTCCAAAAAAGTTTAGACTAGCACCAAATGTCCAAAGTTTTCATTTTCTTGCGAGTTTGGTCCGATTTGCTTTGAAATTTTTTATAAAGACGATTTTGCCCTTACTTTTTACTTTTTCAAGTTATTTATTTATTTAAATATTTTTCTGATTAAAAGAAAAAATTTTAAAAAGCCAAAACTCTCTCTCTCTCTCTCTCATCCCCACCACTTCGTTTATTTAAAAAAAAAAAACATTATAATCCATGAATACCATTTCAGAAATCCATGAACACCACATTAGAAATCAGAAATCCATGAACACCTACTTCAGAAATCAAAACTTATCTTTATAGTTACGATTTTCATAAAAATAAAATATCACCACCACCATTGAAGATTTGAAATAGATTTAGGGGAAAGAAATCAATATATTGCCTTCAAACAAGAAAACACACATACACGAACAGATCTCATTTCATCTTCAGATCTCGGAGCATATATGACGACGTAGGGAGATGGATTTCGATTAACCTCTATCGGTTTGTCTTCTCCAAACCATGACGTAGACATGGAAGACAAAATGATGATAAAATCATATTCTTCTGCATAATTTCATCTAAATCGATCTCGAAGACAACCCACCATCAATCTAACCCTTTTCGAAGTCGCCTGTTAAAGCAATCCCTACCACCAAACACCATCCCTTCACCTCAGGTCTCTCCCCTTGATTTCCAGTCGCAAAACGCCGCATCTGAAAACCTTAGCCGCTAAGAAACCCTAACTTCATATTTCAATCTCCTTTCTCTTGTCTTCGGCTGTCAAGGTTCAAAGGGAGGGTAGAAATGATCGAAGTTGGTGTTTGGGGTGGTGCTACCTGAACGAAGGGAAGCGGAAGGGGGCTTGGGCCGACGACAGTCGCTGGTTTCTTCTTCTTTGGATGGTGGTAATCAAGAAATGTGAGAGAGAGAGAGAGAGAGAGAAAGAGAAAGAGAAAGAGAGGCGATGATGAGGTCTGATCAGGGATACAGATGACTTGCCTAATTTTTTGTTGGAGATGGAGATGCTCTTTGAGGGTATCTCTTGGCAACAACATTGAAACACAAAGATGGAAGAGGGATGGAGAAGAGGGTGGGTGGAGAGAGAGAGAGAGAGAGAGAGAGAGATTGTATATTTTATTTATTTTTTTCTTTATAAAAAAGTTATTAAAGTAAAATAACAAAGACAAATTTTTTTCTTTTAAATAGAAAAATATTTAAATGAATAAAAAACTAAAAAAGAAAAAAGTAAGGGGCAAAATCGTTATAATGAAAAAGTTCAAAGAAAATTGGACCAAACTCGTAATAAAATGAAAACTTTGAACCTGTGGTGCTAATGCAAACTTTTTTTGGACCAAATTAACAATTTTGAGCAAATCACAAGGATCATTTGTGCAGTTTAATCTTATTTATATAGCAAAAGAATAATTAATATTAAGGTTATTTTTTTTTTATTAATTTGACCATTTGAGTTTAATTCAAACAGTATATGTGTTTCGCGCGATGGTAACGAGCATGAGGTGCCCCACAGCGAGAAGAGACGAGAAGGGGGCGGTGTTCCCCGTTATGACGTCGTTTTGACGTATACACGTAGATCATAATGAGCAATTCCTAACCCATACCGATCGCTCTAACATCATTATCCCGAATTTACCCTCAAAATTTCACAAAAGAGGTAGTTACTTAGTGAATTGATCACCACACGTCCACCGTACGGTTTGTTGGGTATAAAACTTTGTTAATCAAACGATGTCGATGTGATTGAGAAAATATAAACAATTGTAAAATATTTTTTTGTATATATAAAACTAAAAACATAACATTCGTTTCTCTATTATTTTGCCTCAGAAAATTTTAAACGCAATAATATTAATGTATATGAAAAGTAGGTGATAACAGATAAAGCTGAGAATTTCGAAACAAAACATTCACAGACAATACATGGAGCGTCAGTCCGAACATCGCGATGAGCACCACCGCCTTCATTCTTCTCCGATCAACACCAACCTCCTTTCCTACCGCCGGAGCTTACTACAAGACGAAGACACCTCCAGAGCTATCGGATCACCGACGCCATCCTTCACCACCAACTCACCTTTCGACTCTTCATTAGCACTCACAATCCTCGTCCTCCTTACTGTTCTCTTCTTCATGGCCTTCTTCTCCCTCTACATCCGCCGTTTCACCAGCTCCGAAGACTCTCTCTCCGGCCACCAACGTCGATCCGCGCCGCATTCCCGAAGAGAAAAACACGGCGGACTTGACGCCACCACCGTCCGGTCTCTCCCGGTGGTTCCGTACGGTGGCGATTCGAAGATTTGGGGCGAATGCTCAATCTGTTTGAGTGAGTTTGAGGAGAGGGAAACAGTGAAAGTGATTCCGTATTGTCGTCATGGATTTCATCCTGTGTGCATCGACAGGTGGCTTTCATCGCACGTCTCATGTCCCTTATGCCGGTCGACTGAGCTATTTCCGGCCGTCGATGAGGTGTGAGTAGGTGTGGTGGTGGGTCAAGATAAAGATCCGACGGTGTTGACACCAACACGACGTGAGTGAATGCATGAGGTCCCGCGTGTTATGATTGTTGGAGAAAGACAAGATTTGCCGGGAACGTTTTCTGCAGGTAGGCACGTGGGAGATGGCACGTGTGACGTCATGTACTAAACGGCAAAACGTACCAATTGTCTTTTTCTGTTTTCTGTCTTGATTTATTAATTTATTTTTAATTTTTATTTTGATTTTATCGTCTAGGAATATTTCGTGTTGGAAATAAATTTAAATAAAAAAATGATATTAATCATGTTGATGTAAACATTATCGTAAGAATGGAAATTATCGAAACATTCATTTGGTGTGATAACAAATACGTAAGCTACGCGGGACCCACAGCCCACAACTAATGTAAACATTAAAGTTTATGATTCTATTTTTTTCACATTTCTTTCAATAAGTAATAAAAAATATATTTTTTTAAATGTTTTTCATATCGATTATATCTTTAGTTAGCTTATATACTAGTTTTATTAAATATTATTCTCTATCAGATATATTGATAACTCATAAACTAGTAGTTAATTTTTCAATTAATACTACACATAGCCAAAAAAAATTAACACTACTAGAAATTTGTTTTTTCAGTCGTATATCGTCTCATAAAATAACAAATCTCAGATTTAACTATAAGGTTTTATTGTTTTTTATGGGCTTAAATAAATGTTTTTTAAAATATATTTTAAAGTAAGCTTTTATAAAAAGAAACTGATTTTGTTTGCTGGATAGAAGGTCGAATTGTTCAACCAGATCAGCGTATTAGGTTTTTAAAATTATTTAAATCTTAAAAAGTTGATTCAACATGTATTAATCGAGTTAAAGTGTGGCTTTTGAATTGGGAATATGTTTAACCTCCACACCAAGACATTTATGGTCTCTTCGTTGCGAGAATATTCTTGATTTGTTTTTGAAGGCGACACACAATTAACACAATTCATATTTATTTTATTTTAGATGGTAGCAAGAAATATCAAACTAAATTACAAAATAAATAAATAAATAAAATTACAAGAATCGTTATTCATTCGAATGCAAAATAAAATAAAATAAAAAGTTTATAAAAAATAACTCATAAAAGTTGCATGTTTCATCCACATTAATTTAAATTTGCACACTTCATCCTTTGAAACAGCGATTTCAAAGGATAATTTGTTTGCAAAATTACTGTGGTCGAAAGGAAGATAACTTGCTAAGAAGATGAAAACTATTGTAATGACCCGAAATTCTATCATCTAATTATCTACGGATTATCAAAGTTATTTCTAAGAATTTGCAGAATTTTGTTAACTCATGAAAATAAAACATTTTACATCCTAGGAAATATTTCAGGTTTATAATAAAATCATACAACTAAACTGAAGCAACAAGAAATATACAAGTAATAAAACTACTCATAATCTAAGTCTTTGTGCTCCTATATTCTTTGCATACACCAACTGCTATCTGAACCAAAACATGAAACATCTCTATAACATCATACAACAATGTCTGATGAGTTATGTTCTTTCTATTTTCATGTTTATTTACTCTTCTTCTAACTCTTTCTATCTTTCCATACTCTAACTTTCTTCGTTACTTCTTTCTCATACTCTGCTATCTAGTCTCTTTTTCTAATAGCATACAATACTAGTATTTCTCATTCATCTATATCTTCTACTCTTTTTCTTATCTTTACTTTCTACTCTTACTGTATCTCATGTTATTGATCTCATACTCTATCTTCTACTATTCTTCTCTAATCTTTTCTCTTCATCTCATACGATTTATTAGCCTCTTCCCAGGCTCTTCTTATGCTCTATACATGCTCTATGTTCTCTTACTTGATCTCGTTCATACTTTTCTTCTCTACTTCTTTTTTCTTGTCCCTTACTCTTATCTCATCTCATCTTTCTCTACTCTCTCTCTCTCTCTCTCTCTCTGTATGCCCTTCTCACACTCATACTCTTCTCTTTTCTCATCTCTTACTCTTGGCATGTCTTTCTCTTACTCTACTTACACTTACTGCTTTATTCTCAACTTTTCATGCATTTGTTGGATTAAGTGTCTAAATCATTAACTAATTTGGTATATACTTGAATTAAAAAACAAAGTTTTTTTTTTGGTTACTCTCAAAACTAGTAATTGACTGAATGACTTTTCGAGAGAAAAGTTAATTTATTGATTTACTATATGATTAATAAAAAGAAATAAATAGTTTATTAATATATTAATTAGAAATAGTATTATTAAATTAATAACTAAGCATAAATTAATTGGAATTAATTTTAGGATTAATTGGATTAATTAAAAATACAAAGACTTAACGTGTAGTTGTTTAATAGTTGAACAATAGAATGATTCTAGATCCTTCCTAAGGCGAATAAAATGCACGAGCCTCATAGGGTTTCTACAATGTCCCATCCTCCCTAATAAATGAAAATAGTTTTGCCACATGTCACTCTCTCATTAACTTGGACACATGTCATTTTTTGGTATTTTTGAATAAATGTTTTTTCCATGTGTCATTTTCTCATTGTTTATCTTTTTTAATTAACACATCATATTTACACCTCAATTAATAATTGTCTTATTTAAAACTAACCATTAAATTATAATATTATAACTCATATACTATTAAATATGTTTCCTTTTAAATTCAAATTTTAAATTTTAAATTTCAAATTTCAAATTTATATAAATTTTTGTTTAAACCTTTATATTTAATTTTTTTTGTTTTATCCAACCCGTATAACATACGGGTCAGACAGCTAGTGTAGATAATAAAGAAACTAGATAAAGCCAGATTTGAAAAAATATTATTTTATTTCTAATTAGGGTTTCCGGGGTTTTCCTATTAGCTATAAATAGGGCCCCTTGGACTCGCTACTTTCATCCCATCCATACCAAGAGCTAGAAGAGTTGAAATTATGCTTTCGTCTCGTCTCTCCTCTCAAGCCTTCCATTTCTAGGGCTTGGGTATAAACCATTAGAGACACCATAATTTTGGTGTGAGCTTGCCAAACAAATGGTAGAAATGAATTTTCGATTATTTAGACTAATAATAAAAAAACGTATATAAACCCTGGTCCTTTTAATTTCGATTATAATAAGCTTGCCTTAGGTTTTATGATGTTCAATTGTTTATTTCTTTCAATAGAGAAAATTTAGATCCAACGTAGGTTACATGTGAACTTAAGGGTTAAGTTGTTTTCGCCACATATATTAATTATAACCTATAAAACCTATTAGTGGTATCAGAGCAATAGTTTTCAATTGATTATGCATATTGTTGAATAGATAAAAATTAGGGTTTATAGAAATTAAACCCTAAATGTTTTAAAATTTCGAAAATGGTTGGTGTTCTTGATACGCTTGCCTCCACCCCTAAAATCTCGAAAATTGCTAGGGTTGTATGGGTTTATCTAGTTTCCTTAAATATGTTTCTAGAATCCTTAAAATAGAATAATTAAAACTGGATAAACCATGCCCTAATTTTCAAAAATTAGATAGGGTAATGGATTAGGATTAAATTTGAATTATTTGATTAATTGTTTAATAGTAAATAATTATTAATCCATAAACCCTTGTATTTGAAATGTTTTAAAATAAACCTTATATATTATTAAAACTTAATTACTATATGCATAAGAAACATTAGTCAAATCAATAATAGACCTCATTAATGAAACCATGCTATAAAGAAGGTATAAGCAAGCTGCCTATAAAATGGTCATTGAATTGGTGTTTATTCTCACCCACTGCTCTCCTAAGTGGTGGAGGGTCGTTATCCGAATAGGTTTGATAGGACATAATCTCATTAAAAGTATAATGATATAAAGTACTAGAACCTTCTTTAAAAATCTCACTCTAGTTTAGAAAAAATGTGAAGAGTATGCTAATCCATGAAAACACACATCATACTTTATATGTCGTTAGTGGAAGGTGCGTGGTTAACTGACACAGTAATAAGGACTTTAAAGAGAAATGATGGGCATCTCGAAAATTATCAATGTTAATGGAGCATGTGTGGTTAATTGACACATTAATTAGAGATGATAAATGACATCGAGGTTGCCAAGCGTATGCGCATGGTTATTCACATCTTGTTTGCGATCCTCGGCATCCCAGTCACAAATAGAAGAGCATAATGTGTAATTAAACATGTCCTTGATAAGATTCAATGAATCTCAAAAGATCTAGGAATTTTATAGATTTAAATTGGTGAATTGTTTTACCTATCTTCATAAGTTTGCAATAAGATTATGACATTCCTATTCTTAGTTGTGATATGTTATATTGGATCCTAGCCTTGAATATTTATTATGGGTTAAAATATTAAGGAATTCATATCAACTAACTAAAACTTTTCTTTTCATATAGATGTTTAATTCTAATGGTGATTTTAGTGTTGCTCAAATCTCCACCACCAACAACAAACTCACTTTACTATTGATCCTCTCTAAAGAGAAATTAGATGGTCCAAACTGCATGGACTGGATGTGAAATCTCAAAATGACTCTTCGATATGAGGGTAAAGAATATGTCATTGATAAACCTCTACTCGAAATCAAGGAGTCAATTGCTACTCCAGAAGAGCTTGCCACCTACAAGAAACGTTATGATGATGCAACAAAGGTTGTTTGCATAATGGTTGAAACCACGGTACATGAGTTGCAAAAGTTCTATGAGGACTATTGGTCATATGATATGTGCTTGGATCTTGCGAAAAAGCTTCACAATAATGCATGTCAAGAGATGTACAAGTTTGTCAAGGTATTAATGGCTTCACAAGAACACCCTCCTTTTCGAGTATTTAAGGGAATAAGAGGCTATGGTTACCCATACTCAGCGTCTCTCACCCCTTAAGCCTCTAGAAACCATAGATTTTGCGTCACCTTGAGTTATTTGGTATTTTGCTTGTGGAAAAGAAGGAAAATGAGAGAAAAAGAATCATCCTGGGAAGG